GTCCACCGCCCACCCTCCACCGTCCACCGTCCACCGCCCACCGCCCACCGCCCACCGCCCACCGCCCACCGCCCACCGCCCACCGCCACCGGCCACCGGCCACCGGCCACCGTCCACCGCCCACCGCCCACCGCCCACCGCCCACCGCCCACCGCCCACCGTCCACCGCCCACCGCCCACCGCCCACCGCCCACCGCCCACCGCCCACCGCCCACCGCCCACCGCCCACCGCCCACCGCCCACCGTCCACCGTCCACCGTCCACCGCCCACCGCCCACCGCCCACCGCCCACCGCCCACCGCCCACCGCCCACCGCCCACCGCCCACCGCCCACCGCCCACCGTCAACCGCCCACCGCCCACCGCCCACCGCCCACCGCCCACCGCCCACCGCCCACCGTCCACCGCCCACCGCCCACCGTCCACCGCCCACCGTCCACCGTCCACCGCCCACCGCCCACCGCCCACCGCCCACCGCCCACCGCCCACCGTCCACCGGCCACCGTCCACCGGCCACCGGCCACCGGCCACCGCCCACCGCCCACCGCCCACCGCACACCACCCACCGGCCACCGCCCACCGGCCACCGCCCACCGGCCACCGCCCACCGTCCACCGCCCACCGTCCACCGCCCACCGCCCACCGCCCACCGCCCACCGCCCACCGTCCACCGCCCACCGCCCACCATCCACCGCCCACCACCCACCGTCCACCGCCCACCGTCCACCGCCCACCGTCCACCGCCCACCGTCCACCGCCCACCGTCCACCGCCCACCGTCCACCGTCCACCGCCCACCGTCCACCGCCCACCGCCCACCGTCCACCGTCCACCGCCCACCGCCCACCGTCCACCGCCCACCCTCCACCGCCCACCGCCCACCGCCCACCGCCCACCGCCCACCGCCCACCGCCCACCGCCCACCGCCCACCGCCCACCGCCCACCGCCCACCGCCCACCGCGCCCACCGCCCACCGCCCACCGCCCACCGCCCACCGCCCACCGCCCACCGCCCACCGCCCACAGCCCACAGCCCACCGCCCACCGCCCACCGCCCACCGCCCACCGCCCACCGCCCACCGCCCACCGCCCACCGCCCACCGTCCACCGCCCACCGTCCACCGTCCACCGCCCACCGCCCACCGCCCACCGCCCACCGCCCACCGTCCACCGGCCACCGTCCACCAGCCACCGCCCACCGCCCACCGCCCACCGCCCACCGCCCACCGCACACCACCCACCGGCCACCGGCCACCGGCCACCGGCCACCGGCCACCGCCCACCGTCCACCGCCCACCGCCCACCGTCCACCGCCCACCGCCCACCGCCCACCGCCCACAGCCCACCGTCCACCGCCCACCGCCCACCATCCACCGGCCACCGCCCACCGCCCACCGGCCACCGCCCACCGCCCACCGTCCACCGCCCACCGCCCACCGTCCACCGCCCACCGCCCACCGCCCACCGCCCACAGCCCACCGTCCACCGTCCACCGCCCACCGTCCACCGCCCACCGTCCACCGCCCACCGTCCACCGCCCACCGTCCACCGCCCACCGTCCACCGTCCACCGCCCACCGTCCACCGCCCACCGTCCACCGCCCACCCTCCACCGCCCACCGTCCACCGCCCACCGCCCACCGCCCACCGCCCACCGCCCACCGCCCACCGCCCACCGCCCACCGCCCACCGCCCACCGCCCACCGCGCCCACCGCCCACCGCCCACCGCCCACCGCCCACCGTCCACCGCCCACCGCCCACCGCCCACAGCCCACAGCCCACCGCCCACCGCCCACCGCCCACCGCCCACCGCCCACCGCCCACCGTCCACCGCCCACCGCCCACCGTCCACCGCCCACCGTCCACCGCCCACCGCCCACCGCCCACCGCCCACCGCCCACCGTCCACCGGCCACCGTCCACCAGCCACCGCCACCGCCCACCGCCCACCGCCCACCGCCCACCGCACACCACCCACCGGCCACCGCCCACCGCCCACCGGCCACCGCCCACCGCCCACCGTCCACCGCCCACCGTCCACCGCCCACCGCCCACCGCCCACCGCCCACAGCCCACCGTCCACCGCCCACCGCCCACCATCCACCGCCCACCACCCACCGTCCACCGCCCACCGTCCACCGCCCACCGTCCACCGCCCACCGTCCACCGCCCACCGTCCACCGCCCACCGTCCACCGCCCACCGTCCACCGTCCACCGCCCACCGTCCACCGCCCACCGTCCACCGTCCACCGTCCACCGCCCACCGTCCACCGCCCACCCTCCACCGCCCACCGTCCACCGCCCACCGCCCACCGCCCACCGCCCACCGCCCACCGCCCACCGCCCACCGCCCACCGCCCACCGCCCACCGCCCACCGCCCACCGTCCACCGGCCACCGCCCACCGGCCACCGGCCACCGCCCACCGTCCACCGCCCACCGCCCACCGGCCACCGGCCACCGCCCACTGGCCACCGGCCACCGTCCACCGCCCACCGGCCACCGCTCACCGCCCACCGCCCACCGCCCACCGCCCACCGCCCACCGTCCACCGCCCACCGTCCACCGCCCACCGCCCACAGCCCACCGTCCACCGTCCACCGCCCACCGTCCACCGCCCACCGTCCACCGCCCACCGTCCACCGCCCTCCGTCCACTGCCCACCGGTGGACGCCATCTACCGTCCTCCGCCCGCCGGTGGACGTTGTCCACCGTCCACCATCCACCGCCTGCCGGTAGACGCTGTCCACTGTCCACCGCCCCCCAGTGGACGTCATCCATCGTCCCCCGGTGGACGCCATCCACCGTCCACCGCCCGCCGGTGGACGCCGTCCATCGTCCACCGTCCACCTATGTTGGAAAATTCGCTGAGAAGGCTTAGCGTATAGCGTATATACGCTAGTGAATATACGCAATACGCTGATACGCTTGGAATACGCGATACGCGATACCCGGGCTGCCCAGCGAAAAAAATAAATAAAATCATTTTTTTTTCGGCGAGCTCGCGACATTGCGAAATCTCAAATCTTCGTCCACGCTTTTTCGCCCACCCTCTCACCAGGTGTGGACGTGGATGGAAGGCATCCCGTGTTTGTCGTCCCCCCCATTCCCACCATACTTCAGATCTGAAGCACCATCTCTGGGAGAATGGCTAGGGCAGTTTTGCTGGGATGTGGTGTGTGGGGGGGAATGTGGTCCTTGACCTCTCCTGGCTGCCCGCCAGTTTTTCTTGCCTGCCCGGGCAATTTTTTTCCCCTGCCCGAGCAGCCGTATTCCTGCCGTATTGGTCCCCAAACCCCTGCGTATAGTGTATATACGCTAGCGTATAAAACACAATACGCGTATATTCCAACATAGCCGTCCACCACCCACCGCCCGCCGGTGGACGCCGTCCACCGTCCATCGTCCACCATCCACCACCCGGCGGTGGACGCCATTCACCGTCCACCGTTCACCGCCCGCCGGTGGACGCCGTTCACTGTCCACCGTCCACCGTCCAGCAGTGGACGCCGTCCACCGTCCACCACCCTCCGCTGGACGACATCCACCGTCCACCGCCTGCCAGTGGACGCCGTCCACCGTCCACCGTCCGCCGCCCGCCGGTGGACGCCGTCCACCGTCCACTGTTCACCGCCCGCCGGTGGACGCCGTCCACCATCCAACGTCCACCGTCCACCGTCCCCCGCCCCCCGGTGGACGCCGTCCACCGTCCACCGTCCACCGCCCACCGGAGGATGACATCCACCATCCACCGGAGGACACCGTCCACCGTCCACCGTCCACCGCCCACCGCCCACCGCCCGCCGGTGGACACTGTCCACCGTCCACTGTCCTCCGTCCATCGTCTACCGTCCACCGTCTACTGTCCACCGTCCACCGTCCACCGTCCAACGCCCGCCGGAGGACGACGTCCACCGTCCACCGCCCACCGGTGGACGCCATCCACCGTCCAACATCCACCGTCCAGCGCCCGCCGGTGGACGCCGTCCACCGTCCAACGTCCACCGTCCACTGTCCACCGCCCCTCGGTAGACGTCGTCCATCGTCCACTGTCCACCGCCCCTCGGTGGACGCCATCCATCGTCCACTGCCCGCTGGTGGACGCTTTCCACCGTCCATCGTCCACCGCCCACCGGTGGACGCCGTCCACCGTCCACCGTCCACCACCCGCCGGTGGACGCCGTCCACCGTCCACCGTTCACCGCCCGCCGGTGGACGCCGTCCACCGTCCAACGTCCACCGTCCACCGTCCACCGCCCGCCCGGTGGACGCCATCCACCGTCCACAGTCCTCCGCCCCCCGGTGGACGCCGTCCGCCATCCACCGTCCACCGCCCGCTGGAGGACACCGTCCACCGTCCACCGTCCACCGCCCACCGCCCACCGCCCACCGCCCACCGCCCACCGCCCGCCGGTGGACGCCGTCCACCGTCCACCGTCCTCCGTCCATCGTCTACCGTCCACCGTCCACTGTCCACCGTCCACCGTCCACCGTCCAACGCCCGCCGGAGGACGACGTCCACCGTCCACCGTCCAACGCCCACCGTCCACCGTCCACCGTCCAACGTCCACCGTCCAACGTCCACCGTCCACCGCCCGCCGGTGGACGCTGTCCACCGTCCACCGCCCGCCGGTGGACGCCGTCGACCGTCCACCGTCCACTGTCCACCGCCCCTCGGTGGACGCCATCCACCGTCTACCGTCCACCGCCCGCTGGTGGACGCCGTCCACGGTCCACGGTCCACCGTCCACCGCCCGCCAGTGGACGCCGTCCACCGTCCACCGTCCACCGTCCACCGTCCACCGCCCGCCGGTGGACGCCGTCCACCGTCCAACGGGTTCCATATCATTCCCCTGCTCCCTCTGTGTGGGGTTACCTCGTTCACCTGCCCTCCGTGGGGCCCACCTCATTCAACTGCTCTCTATGTGTGGGGCCCACCTCATTCCCTTGCTCTTTTCTGTGGGGCCCATCTCATTTACCTGCTCTCTCACTGTGGGGCCCACCTCATTGACGTGCTCGCTGGGGTTCGAGACGAACGTCCATGACACCCATACGGACTCGCCCAGTGGCAAGTCGTCATTGGACGCCACCGCTGCTGCCTTGTAGAGCAGCCCTCCCACCGCAGTCAGCAGCATGCAGATGGCCAGCAGCGTGAGGGCCTGGGGGAAGAAGAACGAAGGGGCTGAAGGGGTTGTAGAACGATGTGAAAGCAAATCCACCACCCAACACCACTCCCAAAACTGCAATACTGCTGCTGCCCTTGAATTCCAGCCCTCCCGTGCAAACGGCTAGCGGCGCGAGGGTCACGGAAACAACAACCAGGGCCAGTAGAGGCGAGCAGGCGAGCCTTCTTGGCTTGGACAGGCGAGTGGAAGAGCAGACAGCAAGCTAGCATGCACGGGTATGGCAGCAGCAGATAGCACGATGGGATGCACACGCGTGGCAGCAGACAACGCACCTTGCTGTTGGGCTCAGTGGCGAAGAGGTTGTCCAGCCAGTACAGCAGGCGGGCTCGCTTGGACAGCCGACCGAGAGGCTTGGCCTCAGGCGCGCCTAGAGGGATCTGAGGAGTGGGGGGTTGAACAAGGGAGGAGAGTCAGACTTGTGCGATGGGTTCCGCAGCGGCAAAGAGGTTGTCCGGCGTGCAGGCAATAGAGGAGATGCGCTCGTTTAGACAGGCGCCTGGGGGGGCTTGGCCTCTCGCATGCCTAGAGGGATCTGCCGAGGGGAGTTAGTGAGAGGTGCGTTGGATGAGGGAAGAGGGACAGTATTGTGCGATGGGTTCCGCAGCGGCAAAGAGGTTGTCCAGCGTGCAGCCAATAGAGCAGGCGAGCGAGCGGGACAGGCGAGAGGATTGGCTTCAGGCACGCAAAGAGGGATCTGAAGAAGAATAGTGCGGTTGGGCGGGTGGTTTGGGGGTGGGAGCCGGGGGGGATGCGTTTTGGGAGGGGGGAGGGGCATGGAAGGACAGTAGGAGAGAGGTGCGTGAGTGCAAGGGTTCTCGGATCCCAAACCGGGATGTGACCAGAACGAGCGTGAGTACACGGGTTCTGAAGCTGGAGCCAAAGCTTGGCCCCTCGGATGCCTACAGGGATGTGATGTGAGTGACCAAAACGTGCTTGAAGGAGGAGTGAAAAGGTGGTGTATGTATTGGGGGCCGAAGGGCGAATTGGCGGTAGGGTGGGTGGCGAGTTGGTAGCATGGAGAGCTGCATACGCCTAGGCATGCCTTTGCTGTGGCTAGAACACGGACCTGTAGGCATCACCAAGCTCCTTGATATTAAAGCCAATCCAACAGTGCGGTAGCGGCAGCGGCAACAACTTACTTGAACAGAAACAGCAGTAGCAGCAGAGACTCAAGCTCACCTGAACAGCAGCAGAGACTCAAACTCGCCTGAACAGCAGCAGAGACTCAAACTCACCTGAACAGCAGCAGAGACTCAAACTCACCTGAACAGCAGCAGAGACTCAAGCTCACCTGAACAGCAGCAGAGACTCAAGCTCACCTGAACAGCAGCAGAGACTCAAACTCACCTGAACAGCAGCAGAGACTCAAACTCACCTGAACAGCAGCAGCGACTCAAACTCACCTGAACAGCAGAAGCGGCAGCAGGCGGAGGCAGACAGGCAGTGGGGCGAAGAGGGCTCCATCCTAGCAGCGCTGCTGCTGATGCTGCCACCAGCGCTGCTGCTAGAACCAGAGGTCGGAGGGAGGACGGCTGGACAAACAGAGGGGGGGGAAAGGAGAGAGGAACGAAGAAGAACGCATTGGGAGAAACGAGGCTTTACATCAAGAGCGCTGCTGCTGCTGCTGCTACCGCCAGCGCTGCTGCTAAAATCAGAGGTCGGAGGGGGGATGGCTGGAGGGGAAGAGGGCAGAGAGAGGGGCTGTCCCTAGAGTGCGTTACCCAAGTGACGTTGCACCAGATACCACCTGGTTTTTCGGTCCCATCGCTCGCAATGTAGCTGTCCAGAGCCGCATTGCACGCAATACATGCCTGCATTGCAATGTAAAAAAATCTAGCCGCATTCCTTGCAATGTCACATCTTACAACCAAGTTGCACGTACGAAGGCATATCAGAGCCACATTGCACAGAATATACACACCTGACACGTACACCAAATGCAATGCTTTTTCTCCCCAACAGAAATCATACCATCGCAGCCAAAGTCACCCGATGCTTTCTCGTTCCTTCCCCCCGGCCTTTTCCAGTCTCCGCCTCGTTCCGCCACTCCGCTTCCGCGCGCTGGCCCTCTCTGCCGCCTCTGCCAGCGTCAGCGGAAGCCTCCGCGCGGACTGGTCCGCGGACGGCTTTGCTTGCAGGGGTCGCATTGCGCCTATTTTCAGGCGCCTCAGAAATGCTCCTGGCGCAACCAAGCGCGCGGGGAACGCCGAACACAGATGATCCGCTGCTTCTGAGGCTTCGCGCATCGGCGCGCGGAGCTCTTCCCTGCGCGAGTAGGCTGCTTGCGCCGATGGTTCTCCGCGCGCGCGTGGCGTGCGCTGGCGCAAGAGGAAACGGCGCAAGGGGGGTGGCGTGCTGGAGCAGCAAGCGCATGGCCATGATGGCACGCGGAAGGGTGAAAGCCTATCAGTGCGCGCTTCAAAACGATTATTGAATAACTAGCCCACTCGATTCTGAAACGTCAAGACCGCTTGATATGAGTCAGCTCAACGCTTCTGGGAAGGTCCCATCCTACGATCAAACGAGACTGATGGTGCTCTATTAGCCCTTCAACCCTCCTAATGCTGCTCTGATGGTGCTCTAGCCCTTCAATCCTGCTGATGGTGCTTGAATGACGTGGCGGAGGGAACAGAATTATGCTTCAGATCTCGTTCGCCTGCTTCAGTGCGGTAGGAGATTGGCGTCAACCTCCGTGCTGAGGCAAAAAGGGCTGCTTAGCAGAGCCCGTGCTGCAGCAAAAACTGCTTCAGCCTCCGAATGTAATAATGGAGCACGATCATATGGCGTACAGCGCAGGCGCAATGCAGGAAGAATGGCGACTGACTGAAAGACCCAGCCAAAAAACAGCCTACTTAGACCCGTCTAAGTCTTACAGCAGCCGCCAATCCTAAAGCCTGGCACAAGAATAATAAGCAGCTCGGCTCTGAAAGTGGGGGTAGCTTCTTCACAAATAGTGAAGAGTGGCGAGTCGAACTTGTCAGGCCGAGCTTGTCAGGCTGATCTTTTGGGAATGGATGCTGATGGGAATCGACTACAGTACCTTGGGAGTCTCAGGCGAACCAGCTGTACACCGTATTAATTTGTTTCAAAAATTATCTGAGGCGCGTATCTAACACGACTTATAGCTGAACTTCCTGACTGAGACTATGAAATGCATGATACTTTCTCGACACTGACCAACCAAATATGCGCTGTGATACGCGTTTCACTCTCCGAAATATACGCACTTCGATATGACGAGTCTGAGACAACTACCGATCACTCAATCTAACTGGGTCCTCAAAATGCCGTCAAATAGAGGTCCTGTCGTTTTGACTTCCTGGAGCCTGAATTACTCGATATTGTAATCCTCGTTTATCATCACAGGTGCAGTCCCAATGCATTTTCGAAATGGTTTCGGTAAACTACTGGCGAGGCGAAGAGATTGTACCGAGTACGACCCAGTCATTCCGTACGATGAGTTCCACGCCGAGCCGAGATTCGTAAGACGTACTTATTATGATTATTATCATTATTCTCGACTCCTAATTCACACTGTACGTGGCAATGGCGGTCGCGGGAACTCTGGCTCGGTCAGTCGAGACTCGCGTTTTACGACGGTCCTCGGCGATAATTACTGCCGAAAGCGCCAGGAACGCCTTGAGAAACGGCCGCGACTCCCGGCGTAGAACCCTAGGTCCGGCCAAGCCCAATCGCTTGGTCCGTCTTGCGTCCTCCTTCACTTGTCAGCGACAGCCCCGTGCGACAAGTGCAGCGCGCGCTCGTTTCGTTGAGCCTGGTAACCGCAGTCTCGTTCATCCTAGCAGCAAGAATCGTCTGGATGAACTCTCCAGTTTTGGGATCTGTCAGTGGCAACGGCAGCTGATGGGTGGCCAACACGTGTCGCGTCAACGAATGGGAGAGAGGGCTGTGAGCGCTGCAAGAGCAGAGCACTCATCCTCGTCTCCTCCCCCTGCCTCGTCTCCTCCCCCTGCCTCGTCTTCCCCCTCTCCCTCGTCTCCTCCCGCTCCTTTGTCCTCCCCGCCGTCTTCCCCTCCTAGCGGCTATTCCCCTTTCTCCTCCGGTCTCCCGCGTTTCTTCTCCCCGACTTTGCCTCAGCTAATGGTGAGGAGCCCTATATCGAGGACACATTTCTGGCATACATGACGCCACGTGGCATCACCGTGTGTTCCTTTTTTATGAGAAGGTCTGCAGTTAAAGCCTAAAGAACTGGACGCTACACGTGGCATGACCAGGCACCTGATGACGTGGCAATGTGCCATGCTGGCAGGGCAGTGCTCTGCGATTGGTGGGCTCGGAGGCGTCGCACATGACTCGCTCGCTACGCCTTCGACCCGGTGACTCGTGGGTATTCAGACTCACATTGAGTTTTGTGTGTGTATTCAATTTCATTTGGCATTTAGTTCCACTTTTCAGTCTGCCCGACGAAACCCGTCTTGTCATTGGTGACTTGACTTGTGCATATGTCATTCCGTTTTACGTCGTTCACAATCCACTCAAAACTCTTTTTCCACCTTTTCACCACCACGCCTTCCTCCTCTCCCTCCCCTCCTCCCTTCTCCCTTCATCCAACAGAGCGGAGCTATTTGACGGCCAAGGATCAATCGTGACCGTCCGATTGGAGTCGATTGACCGCCAGCAGGGCCTCGTTCTTATCGCCACGGAAGCTTCCAGGAAGGTTCCTTTCTTCGGCCCCCAGTGGACGGTGGTGGCAGCATGTGGCACGCTCAAGGGCGGCCGTTCTGATTGGCTGATTGAGAAATGCACGGTGGGGATTGGCTGATAGAGAACTGGACGGTGGTGACTGGCTGATTGAGAAATGGATGGTCAGGAACGGTTCGTGAAGTTCACTATATGGGTTTCCTGCATGGCACATGCACAAACACATCCATGCACAATCACATCCATGCACAAACACATCCGTGCACAATCACATACATGCACAACCACATCCATGCACAATCACATACATGCACAACCACATCCATGCACAATCACATACATGCACAACCACATCCACATCCATGCTGCACTAGTAACTTCTTTGAGACGATTCTCCTTCTCAAATCCGTTTCAACCTATTTAATTACTCCTATTCGCCCTCACGCGCCCCACACCCTTTCCCCTTCCAAACGCACTTCGTCCAACCCAAACCTATTCTGGCATTATTCAAAACAGGAGTTGGGTGCACGTGGGATTTATTTTTGAGGCGCCTCAAAATTAGACGCCAAGCCCCTTCCAAACTCAGTTCGGCCCCTTCCCGAACTGATTTTATCCAAGCAGGAGCTGGGTGCACGTGCGCTTTTGAGTCGACTCAAAAGCAGACTCATTACACGCGGTTTTTACCTTCCAAACTCAGTTCGTCCCCTAATTTTATCCAAACAGGAGCTGGGTGCACGCGCGTTCATTCCCCTAGTGACAGAGCGATCTGGGGGGAAGGGGGAGGGGCGGGTGGACAGATGGGAGCGAGTGGCGCTGGCTGCTGCTAAGCAGAGTGAGTGTGAGAGAAGAGAGAGAGAGTGTGGGTGTGCAACTGTGTGTGCAACTGGGTGTGCGTGAGGGTATATTTTATGACAAAAAAAAGCCGGGAGTGGGGGGAGGGGCAGTTGGAGGGACGGGAGAGAGTGGCACTGGCTGCTGCTAACGAAGGTGAGGAGAAGAGTGTGAGTGTGGGTAGATTGAGGGAGAGAGTGCATGTGTGTGTGCACACACAGTGCGGGGGGGGGGGAGAGCCTGGGGGGAGAGGCGGGTGGACAGATGAGAAAGTTTGGCGCTGGCTGCTGCTGAGCAGAGTGAGGAGAAGGGTGTTGCTGGCGCTGGGGAAGGGGGGAGGGGAGGAGAAGGGTGTTTTTCCTGACTATGTGCATGCTCACACCTCTCCATGCATGCTCACACCTCTCCATGCATGCTCACACCTCTCCATGCATGCTCACACCTCGCCATGCATGCTCACACCTCGCCATGCATGCTCACACCTCGCCATGCATGCTCACACCTCGCCATGCATGCTCACACCTCGCCATGCATGCTCACACCTCGCCATGCATGCTCACACCTCGCCATGCATGCTCACACCTCGCCATGCATGCTCACACCTCGCCATGCATGCTCACACCTCGCCATGCATGCTCACACCTCGCCATGCATGCTCACACCTCGCCATGCATGCACGCGCAACCATGCATGTATCCATGCATGCACGCATACTGCACTGCCTACTTACAGACAATGGAGTCCTAGTTCGCCTTATCAAATTAATTATCCCTTTTTCCTTTATGCAAATTAATGTTTTTCTGGAGCTGGTTACCTGTTTTCCCCCTGGTTTATATTCTCTTTCTGCTTCCCCTCCTTGCCCTCCCTGCCCTCCTTGCCCTCCCTGCCCTCCCTGCCCTCCCTGCCCTCCTTGCCCTCCCTGCCCTCCCTGCCCTCCCTGCCCTCCTTGCCCTCCCTGCCCTCCCTGCCCTCCTTGCCCTCCTTGCCCTCCCTGCCCTTCTCCAGGCCAGTCTCTTCATCGTCCTCTTATCCACGACTTCACATCCGTCAGCGGTCTAGCAAAGCAGGTGGGCTCCTTTTAGGTGCGCCGAATGAACCACTCATTTGTCCAACTAAGCAGACAAAATTGATGCTGTGACAAAGGGTTCCTTTTATCAACTATTCAGCTCCATACCATCTCTCAATGCTGCCTTGTTTACAGATGCAACAGTCTCCCTTTTCGCTGCTGAGTGGATTTGATGCTCGCCCAGCTGCAGAATTAATGCCCTCCTGACTTCTTTCTCCCCTCAGTCTCGATGTCTTCCATTGCCCTGCTGGGAGCACCATGCGTCCCACCATGGCTGGCAGCAATAAAAGCAGTGGGTCCTGCCTTCAAATCTGGCGATACACTCTCTTCTATTCCTCCCCTCCTCCCCTCCTCCCCTCCTCCCCTCCTCCCCTCCCCCCTTTCCCCCCTCCCCTGCTGCAGATTCAGCAGTCTCCCATTGCCCTGCTGGGAGCCCCCAACTCGCCACCGCTGCTGGCAGCACTAGGGGCTGTGGATCCGTCCTTGGTGCAAAGAGGGGGGCTGCTTATAGTGGGACCAGAGGGAGGTGAGCTGTGTGCTTCAAGCGGCTTGAGATTCTCATTTCATTCAACCGGCTCGCATCTGACCCGGTCGCTTCTGACCCGGTCGCCTCTGACCCAGTCGCTTGCTCCCAGACCTGCGCCACTCACAGGCCGCCTGCTTACGTATTGACCGGCTACACCCAGCCATTTGTGTGGCTACTGATGAGACATCTCAAAACCAAAAGCACAGCAGAACAGATCACACACACGCACGTGCGCTCGTGCACACACACACACACACACACACACACACACACACACACACACACACACACACACGCACACACATGCACACACATGCACGCGCACACACATGCACACACACACACACACACACACATGCACACGCTCGCACACACACACCCAGACACACACATATACACACAAAAAATCCTCTGTAATTGCATTTTCTCCACCGACCATCCCCCCAGACTTCACCCTGTGAGAAATAGAAGCTCTAAAGGCAGCGGGAGCGCAGCCGGTGAGCTTGGGCCTGCCGAGATAAAGAGGAGAGTTCACCCCCACTCTCCCTGACTGCCTCCCTCCCTCATCCACCCATCCCCCCAGACTTCACCCCTTCCGAACTAGAAGCGCTGGTGGCAGCAGGGGCACAGCCAGTGAGCTTGGGCCTGCAGAGACTACGGGTGGAGACAGCTGCTGTTGCCATGCTGGCAGGGGTCTCGCTAGTAGCACACTCGTTGTTAGAACAGGTAGAGTTGCATGGCAATCAGTAGCGCGTACTAGAGTGATGCTGCTGGTGGCAGCGGGGGTGCCGCCAGTGAGTCTGGGCCTGCAGAGACTAAGGGTGGAAACAGCTGCAGTTGCCAGCTGACAGGGGTCTCGCTAGTAGCACACTCGTTATTAGAACAGGTAGAGTTGCATGGCAATCAGTAGCGCGTACTAGAGTGATGCTGCTGGTGGCAGCGGGGGCGCAGCCAGTGAGTCTGGGCCTGCAGAGACTAAGGGTGGAAACAGCTGCAGTTGCCAGCTGGCAGGGGTCTCGCTAGCAGCACACTCGCTACAAGAACGAGGGAGTTGAGTGGTGAACAGTAGCATACGGTAGGGTGATTCTGATGGCCGTAGCAGTGTGGGCAATGAGTTTGGCGCTCCAGAGGCTAGGGGTGGATGCAGCTGCAGTTGCCGTGCTGGCAAGGGTTTCACTAACAGCACACTCGTTACAAGAACAGGGGAGGTGATCAGAGTATTGCTGGCAGACAACCCGCAGATAGTGTAACTGGGATGGGTTTGGAGTGCTTTGAACACAACAGCTGCCATTTTACATACTTCTGTGTGATTCGCTCACATAATATCCAGTAGTGTGTTTTGGTTTCTACTACATTCCTGCATCATCAAAGTGCGCACCAACTAACAGCTGAGGGTATGACGAGGAGGTAGCTAAGCTAACAGCAGAGGGTATGACGAGGAGGCAGCTAAGCTAACAGCAGCACCAACTCCGTGGGGGATGCGCTGGCACAAACGCCACTAATTCAACAGCACAGCATGCATTCAACGCCTCATCCGCAAACTCCCTACAGCGTCTGCTCCGCTTTCAATTCCACTCCCGCCACTTCCAACATAACACAGCGCCCTTGAAGGCATCAAGGCCTAAGGGTGGGATCCGGCCGCACAGCATGAACGGCGCTAACTGCTTCCCTCATCTCATCTTGCCAACCTATACCCTCTCCGCTGCCTCCCCCTTTCCAAGAAAGAACGGTGTCTATAGGCTACTACGGGGTGGGGTTTGGCAGCACAGCATGAACAGCGTCAACTGCTGCCCTCATTTCTGCAGAAAACGCAATCTCCTCCCCGATACCCCCCAACCTTCCCCCACAACGGACGGAATCTCCTCCAGCTGCTCCAAGCACGAAGCGCCCACAAGCGCTGCATTTGAATCGACTCTAAAGCCCCCCCTTTCCCCACAACCAACAGAATCTCCACCTGGTGCTCCAAAGACGAAGCACTCACAAGCGCTGCCTTCATGAATCAAGGAGTGGGGCTGGGCAGCACGGCATGACCAGCGTCAACTCCTGCCGCCCTCATCTCCTCTGTGTACTCTATCCCCTCGCCCCTCCCTCCCCCTTCCCCCACAACCGACAGAATCCCCTCCAGCTGCTCCAAAGACAATGCACCCACAACCGGTGCTCCCACCAGGCGTTGGGATTCACGTGCTCAAGGAGTGGGGTTGGGCAGCACAGCATGAACGGCATCAACCGCCGCTCTCATTTCATCGGTATACGCTATCCCCTCCCCCCTCACTCCCCCTTCCCCCACAACCGACAGAATCTCCTCCAGCTGATCCATAGACGATGCACCCACAACCGCTGCTCCCACCAGTGGATGCGCCAGCACGAACGATATTGCCAGCTGGACAGGTGACAGCTGGAACTGCCTCGCCACTTCAGCGTACGCCCTGACAGCTGTCGCCACCCGGGGGTTGTCAACCGGGTATCTTCCCTCGGCCTCTGCATACCGGCCCCGGTACTTAACTAAGCGCCAGGAGGGATCTTGGAAGATTATGTTCTCGTTGTTGGAGCCCTGGTGCAATCCTAGCGACCCGGCAAGTACCTGTGCCGCGTCGACCGCAGGTGTGGCAGCGTTTGCTGACGTCGGACGGTCGCTTGCTGGCGTGGCATCATCATGGTCGGCCAGTGCTGAGCTGGAAACAGCATCCGCCTCTGCGGCTGGTTGGGGCATTGCACGGTTAAACTTCTCGGATTCAAGATCACTGAGGGGGGCGCGGCGGTCCCTGTCAGAAGGATACGGCTGGTCGTTGCGTGAGATATTCGCCGGAAGAGAGCAGTGGTATTTTCCTGAGAGCAGCCCCATGGCCAGAGGGCTGTAGGCGAGGAGAGGGATAGCCTCGTGGTGGCATGCTTCAGCTAGTGTTGAATCAAAGGTGCGGCACAGCAGCGAGTAGGCGTTTTGCAGGGATACGGGGCGAGGGAGGAGCGGGGAGGAGGAGGAGGAGGAGGAGGAGGAGGAGGAGGAGGAGGAGGAGGAGGAGGAGGAGAGAGCACCAGGTGCACGGCTGGCAGCTTCCAGGAACTTCCCCAAGCCCCACGCTGTCTCATTGCTGAGTCCAACATACCGCACCTTGCCTGGGATGGGAGAGAGAAGAGGGGGATGGACGGGGAATGTAGGACGGGAGAAACGGGGAGAAGTGGCGTGAGGACTAGGAGGGAGCAGGTAATTTTTTTAGGTCCACCAAACTAACCTGAATTGGGGTGAAGAGTAAGAGGGAACGGATACTTCGAGCACGAAGGAGAGTGGTGGAGAAGGAGGAAAGGTGGCGCCTTTTGAGTGGACTCAAAAGTCACCAAGAGTAGGAGGGACAGGATGGTTGGAGCACGGAGCACGGAGCACAGAGGAGGAGACGGGGGAAAGGTGGTGCCTCCAGTTGTTCGTTCCCCACCACCACAGCGACTTTTGAGTCAAAAGTCACCTACAGCGACTTTTGAGTCGACTCAAAAGTCACCTACAGCGGAAACTCTTCTTTTCTTTCCTAAGAACGAAAAGAAGGAGTCTTCCTACCTGCTTCCACGGCTGACTTTTGAGTCGTCTCAAAAGCCACCCCACCACCACAGCCGAAACTCTTCTTTTCATTCATAGGAAAGAAAAGAAGCAGGCCTACCTGCTTCCACGGCTCTCCCCAGCGCCTCCAGCTGAGCCTCAAACGGGCTGTACTCGTTATAGTCACAGCGCGGGTCAAACTCCCAGTCGCCAAACATGGGCACGTATCGGTCTGGCCAGTGCAGCTGCAGCAGATCGATATAGTCACACCCCAGCCGCTGCAGACTCGTGTCTATGGCGGATGTGATGTTAGCGGGGTCCAGACTAGAGGGTCCCCCTCTGATCCAAGTCATCTGGGCGGACGGGCCTGCCACCTGAAATATTTCTGGTGGGAAACGGGAGAGAAGAGGGGCGAGACGGAAAATATAGCGATGGGGGTTGTATGCGGAAGTGCCCCCCTCTGATCCAGTTCATTTGGGGCCAAGGGCCCGCTACCTGGGAGAGCGCTACCTGGGAGAGCGCTACCTGGGAGAGCGATGGTGATGATAGGGGAGGGATGGGAATGAGCAACAGGGAGAAGAAGAGAGCGTGAACCAGAGGCGTTGACACATACGTCTCTATGCCAGTTGAAGCCGTGTGTTATGAACCTATTATTTAGTCAACTCAAAAATAGCCTCATAACACAGAAAGAGCGATAATAGGCCAGCGGTGTTGAGACCTACACCTCTTTCTCACTTGAAGCTAAAAGAAACGGTCTTGAGGCGCCTCAAATGCTAGACTTCAAGCATGTCAGTTGACGCCCAAAAGTATTGTTCAGCAGACCTAAATCAACCAAGCCCTCCTAAGCCAGCACGAAGATATTGCATTTACAGCCCCTTAAAGCCCACCTTGGTGGCCACAACGAGTTTGTCCCTTGGAATGCCAGAAGTTGCCATCCACCGACCCAGATAAGCCTCGCTTAAACCCTGGCAGTAACGAGAGCATGGAGGAGAGGAGAAACGTAGGTTTGATGCTGATGAGATAAGGGACTTATGGCGCAGGCAGGCAAGAGACAGATACTCTTGAATCGACTCAAAAGTAATCTTTGAGTCGACTCAAAAGAGAGAGGGTGCAGGAGTGGAGAAAAGTAGGCCTGATCGTTGTGCGATGAGAAACTAAGGGAGCAGGCAGAAGGTAGATACTCGCAATCACAGATCAAAACATGTGAAAAGACATTCTCCAGCCACTTAACAACCCTTTTTCAGTCAGCTCAAATGATAAAATTGTCATTACATTAGTCAACTTCAATCATCTATAATGCCCTTTCAAGGAAATAGTTAACTCGAAAGTCACCTGTGCCTCTTGCCTCTGCGGAACAGGGTACATCTCAGCTGTATGACGAAAGTTCACCCCTCTCCCGAACTGACTTTCGAGGCGACTCAACAAGTCAAACAGAGCCAGTAAATGTTACCGGAGTCTTTCGCCTCTGCGGCACAGGGTACATCTCAGCTGTATCCAACAAGCTCACAGCAGAGACTTCTTTGAGTCACCTCGATAGTCAGTCTCAGTCGTCTTAACGGTTTCAGTCAATCACCTGAGTCTCTTGCCTCTGCGGCACAGGGTACATCTCAGCCGTGTCAAAGAAGTTCACCCCTCCCTCCACCGCCCTCCTTAGCTGCGCTGCTGCCTCCTGGTAACTGGAATAATGATCAGGGCGTTGAAAGCAGGGGGGACATGAGCAAGTGGGGCTGCGACCCATCATCAACGAAGCTCACCCATCCCTCCACCGCCCTGCCTAGCTGCACTGCTGCCTCCTGGCAACTGGAAACAAGGGATGGCTGGAGGATGTGAGGGTGTGAGGGAGGTGACGACACGAGTGAAGAAAGGGCTTTAACTAAAGCTTTTCGTTTTAGTGAGTCAATCCTCCCTCTACCGAACTCCCTAACTGTGCGGCTGCCTCCTGGTGGCTGGAGACCTTGGGAAGCTTGGCGGGTTGAGGGGGTTTCGAGTCGACTCGAGTGCCATTTCTCGACTCAAATGCCTCGTGGTAGTCAAACGCGTGACAGTCACTCGCGTAACAGTCACTAACAGGCACTCGCGTTACAGTCACACTCACCTCAGCGCTTCTCCGAACTGCATGGTCCCAAGGCAAATCCGAGACACCACCAGGTCAGACGCGCCAAGCCGATTGTACTGCATCGACCGTACAGTAACTCTCCCTCTTCTAGCACATTCGGTAGCATCACGTCCTTTCTTCGTTAGAGTCACATCAAAACTCCTTGGCAGGGGACTCAAGCGGTGACCGCCAAGGAGCAACGGGGGCTCGCTCGCTGCTCTAGCGGGAAGCAAAGAGGAGATTCTCGGCGTGTGCGACATTTGAGGCAGCGAATGCATTACGTGGGATGGCATTGCGATCTTTCGACAGTGAGGTGGAAAATGCCGCAAGAGTAAATGTCGTGCGCTACCAGTAACGTTAGAACAGATGCGAATGACGAGCCTCCCAAACGACTACCCTGGGCTCGCACTAACGAACGAGGTTTTTCGCGTTGCGTCCCAACACCTAGACCATGGAAGATTCACCTAGCTATCAGCATAAATTGTTTGGGTCTGAAAACGAAGGCGGCCACGGGATGTGCCAGTACATGCAGCCTCGATAATCCATAATAGCTTCACCTTCAAAGAAGTCGATACATGGAAAGGCAGAAATCTCATTCACAGATGTACTGTAGATGTTGAAGGAACAGAGGAACTAGGGAGAAATGCATGCCAGGAGAATGGAGCAGCGGGTTCAGAACACACCCCTCCATTACCCGTCTGAAGCTAAACATAGTCCATCAAGCTTGTCGTCGCGAAGCTGTTACTAACTCCTGGCTATCCAAATCATCTGGAGCATGATATGCTACGCCCTTGAGGTCTCCAACACCACATGCAGTGGCTGGTGGGTGGCTGGTAGTACCAGCATGAGAACAATTCCTTTCTCACTATTCTGTGTCCATCTGAGGCATAGCGTGCTCCAGGTCGCTCTAAAAGGCCTCAAACACGACTTCCAATGGCTGGTGCCGCAGCTTCGATCCAATGCAATGTATGGTACTTCAGGAACGCATTTGCCCCTCACTCTTCTGAGTCCATCTGAGGCATGACATGCTCCAGGTCGCTCTCAAAGGCCTCCAACACAACTTCCAGTGGCTGATGGCGCAGCTTCAATGCAAGCGACGGCACAAGTGGAAACCCATGCTGCATGCAGGTACAAGGGCACCGGGTTAGTCATGGGGTACCTTCAATCACTTCCTCAATAGGAGAATACCATTCTTTGGTAACGTAAATAACGTGCAATGCAATCCAAGCAACATACCTTTGCCATGAAGGTATGTTCGGATATCAGAATGGCGATCAGCACATCTGGGTTCTTCACCACGCTCTGCCTGCAGTGCGATGAACGGTGAGAATGAGACGAAACCACAACCAAGGGAACAAGAACACGAAATCTTCCACTAAAGGAGGCAAGAGGAAGGTCATTAAAGGCAGAGAAAGACACCCATGTCCACTGCAAATGCAGGCCTCTCAAAGAACACGAATAGACACTATTTCAGATCATCAATTGCAATAGGAGCGAAGGTCAGCATGCGAACACCACCTGCCTTACCTCATGCACAGCTTGGCACATGCAATTGCAACTCGGTAGAGCCTCTCCAGCGTCAGCAGCAACGCGCCTCCAACGCTCTGGTCCACCTTGGCTTGGCAAATCCAAATGAGTTTCAAAGATGAGCGACGATCAACATACCAGACCATCCTCTTCCATACCTCATGCACAGTTTGGCACATGCAATCGCAACTCAAATCAGACTCTCCAGCGTCAGCAGCGATACGTCTCCGACACACCAGTCCATCTTGGCTCAGTGGATCACAAACGAGGTAGTAAGCATGCAGCACCCTGCATGCCAGACCACTCATTCTTACCTCATACACATCTTGGCACGTGCAATTGCAACCCGAAAAAGACTCACTACCGTCAGCAGAGAGAAGTCCTCAACGCTTTGGTCCACCTTGGCTTGGCGAATCACAAGGAGGCTAACAGAGGAGCAGAGACGAGCATGCCAGAACCACTCATTCTTACCTCATGCAGAGCTTGGCACATGCAATCGCCACTCGAATGAGGCTCTCCAGGGTCAGCAGAGATACATCCCCAACGCTCTGGTCCATCTTGGCTCGGCGAATCACGAGGTAGTAAGCGTGCAGCGCCCTGCATGCGTCCTCAGAGAACAAAGCTGACACTGACATCCTGCTCGCCGCCTCCACATGCTGCTGCATCTCGCCCATTGTCATCAACGCAGGCAGCTCGGAATCCCACAAGTCCACCTCCTCTGCTCCATCCAGAAAGGAATTTCCCCCGGTTTTCTTGCTGCCTTTCTTCCGCTTCATCCCAGCAGCAGCACCACCACAACCAGCGATGCCACCGACGACAGGTACACTGCCAGAATTATTCCCAGGCGACAACACAATGTCAAATTTCGACAACATCTGAGCCAGAGGAGCGTCTTTCTTCGTCATGACCAGATCCGCAAGGACTGGCCCAGGAAGCCCTGATGCCAGCCGAGTGGCCGTCTCCTTCGTTCCACTGTTAGACATCAAGCAGGGGGCGTGCTGACCTCCCGATCGGTTATCCTCGCCAAAATACGTCGCCCACACTGTTCCGCATCCCACAGCCATCCCAGCAGATCCTGCAAAGATCTTATGCCGGTCCATCGCCTGGCTCAGCAGCACAGCCGCATCCTGCCGAACCAAACCCCTGGAGATATCCGTCAGGACAATCCCAGAGCTACCCAGAGCCAGGCTCCCAGCAGATAAGCCATCCACTCCGGAGTATGGCAAAAAATGGTCTTCGGATTTCGCTGAGACTTTCTTTCCCAGGAGATGCCGGCCTCTTGGGGGTTGCAGTCCCATAACATGCCGGATGCTTCTCTTAGCCATCTGGGACGCAACTTCTAGGGAGCGCTCCAGCACGGGACAGCGGCCGTTGGATGTGAGGAGAATGTTGACCTTGGACCGTCGATGGTGGGGGGAGTTGTGTGGATTGTGGTGGAGATTTTGCGAGGCTGTCTTTCCTAGAATGGCTTGGAGTGGAGTATGGGATTGGGATGGGAGGGGGGAGCTTCCAGGAGCTGAGACAAGGCTGAGGAGGAGCGTGAGGGGAAGAAGCTCTGGGATGGCAAATGCGTCTGAATCTGAGAGGCCTGCAATGTCCTCCGGCCTTGTGATTCCCAGTGCGCTTCCAGCGAGGCTTATGGCAATTTCTCTCTTCAGGGAATCCGCCAGTCTGGTAAGAATTGAAAGACCCTCGTCTGGTCTGGATGTGACAGAATCAGGGATGCTGTGCCAATCTTGGGTTTGTGAGAGGAACTGGCTCTGAGAAAACAATAGGTTCTGGGAAAGGAAGCTGTCAGACTGGGAGCGGGTAGGGCTGCTTGCAGCCAATTGGCTGGAAGAAAGTTTCGGGCTGGATGGAACTTTTTTCATGTCTTTAATCCCGAACAATTTCCCCATCTGATTGGACGCTTTCAGCTTTGGTCGCACAGTGTCTTCTCCTGCAATCAGATTGTTAGCGATAATTCTGGTAGTGTCGAAAATCTGGGTGCTCGGAGGTAGCTGCTGGGATGAACCTGGGCTCCACGTGTGTCCAATCACATCGCAGAGAGCACCAACGTGGAGCCTGCCGGCTAAGTCATGAAGCAGAAGCACGTGAAATAATGGCGGCCTTGAAAATCGTTGGTCACTTTTTCTAAGAGTGGGTATAGGCCCCAAAACAATATCCTGAAAGTTTTTCACGTGTCAGTAGATGCGGCAGATGTGACAGAAATGACAACGATTGCAAAATTAGAGGTGAATTTCGGATCAGAGCAAGGAAGGATTGACGCACCTGGCATTCTGCTTCTATTCTCCGGAACAGGTCCTCACTGAATGTGTTCGAAGGGCAGCACATGACTTGAGACGCCACGTCATCTGTCCACCATACGTCCTTCACACGGCCGCAGGTTTGGCACTGAATTCTCCTCATGAAGATAATGTGTTGGATCGATATGATCCCAAGGACAAGAATAGAGACGGTCAAGGAAAACATTCCACAGATTATGAATTTCTCTCTAAAGGCGCTGCTTCCCTGCTTCATCTTACCAGCCTCCCCTTACCAGCCTTCCCTTACCAGCCTTCCCTTACAACTAAATAGTGCTGCCTCTGCCACTTGCTCACATTCGCTCTCACTCTTCTCTCGTAACTCTGAATTGAGACGGAAAAGGGGTAGGATATCTTTCGTATCAACGAGGCGAAGTAGACCACGCCGTGGATGCGAACCAGCTGATTTGACGGACACAAATGAATCTTCGCAGCCCAGGCCTCCTCCACCGTCAGATTCGGAATAGGTACCGAGGTGAATCGGATCAGAAGCAAGGCACGAGATCGGACACGAGGTCTCTCCTTCTCTGGCGGAAAACCTTCTTTTTCCTTCTTCACATCGGTTTGAGAAAGAACGAGGAAATGCTCAGCGAGGAAGGTCGAAATCGACCGCACGTCGGAAAGAAGCAGAATTGCGGTTCCTAGGGACCAATCCGCAAGCTCCATTCCGTCTATAGCGACAGGAAGGACCGACTCTCCTCGCGAGAGTCTTTCTAGCAGACCGTTGAACTGTCCCTTGACCTGTAACCAGTCCGCCAGTTTGACAGCTGCCTGCTGAAGGTGATGAGACGCCATGGTTTTATTTCGCTCGCACGCAGCGTACTGAGTCAAGTGATGGCTGATTCACCGCCGTGCCCTTGACAGACAAAAGCTGGTCTGGCGTTCTGAAGCTTACTACTCTCCTTACCCTATCAACACTGGGCCCAGTGTCGCCTATCATTGTGCAAAAATCCAACATCGAGGCTGCTGTGCTGTGAGTCGAGCCATGGGGAGGCGGAGGAAAGTGGGGAGGCGGAAAGCAGAAGCGCGGAAATGTTGTGCTTGGTTTGCCAGAGGGGCGTGGCGATTGGTTGGAGCAAAAATAGATGGGGCATAGTGTTGGGGACATACTTCGAACTCGGTAAAGGAATTAAATCAAATAAAGGGCGCATACACCCCCAGTCATATAAACCTCAACCCTGAATTTTCAGCTTTGGACTCATGAATAACAACACATACGGTAACAAGATTTTGCTGACCACTCTGCTATTGCAGAAACAAAATAAACATTACTCCTCCCGATTTCAGCTGTTGAAAGGCTTTAATCCACCTCCTCAATCTTTGGTTCTGCAGAATATCCCCCACTCTCCCCCCTTGCACCAGTGCCACAACCGCCAGCCTGAGCCCCACAACATCCAGCCCCTGACCCAGCCTGGTACATCCTCGCCACGATAGGCGAACACACACCCTCCAACTCCTTCCGCTTCTCCTCAAACTCCTCCACTTCTCCCAGCTGATTCTTCTCCAACCAGTCAACTGTCTCCTGTACAGCATCCTCAATCTTCTGCTTATCCTCCGGACTCAGCTTCCCACCCACCTTGTCATCCCTCACTGTGTTCCTAACCTGGTATGCGTAATTCTCCAGCTCATTCTTGGCATCCACCCGCTTCTTCACCTGCTCATCCTCCTCCTTGAATTGCTCAGCCTCCTTCACCAGCCGGTCAATCTCTGCCTGGCTCAGCCTCCCCTTATCGTTGGTAATTGTGATCCTGCTGCTCTTCCCCGTCGCCTTCTCCTCTGCACTCACGTTCAGAATCCCGTTCGCATCAATATCGAACGTGACTGTAATCTGCGGGACTCCACGGGGTGCAGGCGGGATTCCTGCCAGCTCGAATTTCCCCAGCAGGTTGTTGTCATGGGTCCGAGCCCTCTCTCCCTCATACACCTGAATCAGAACACCCGGCTGGTTGTCTGAAAACGTAGAGAAGATCTCCTGCTTCTTGGTGGGGATTGTGGTGTTGCGTGGAATCAGCGTGGTCATCACTCCCCCCGCTGTCTCCAGCCCAAGCGAGAGCGGAGCCACGTCCAGCAGCAGCAGATCCTGCACCTTGGCACTCCCTCCCCACTCAGAATGGCCGCCTGGACAGCAGCGCCATACGCCACTGCTTCGTCCGGATTAATGCTCTTGCACAACTCCCGGCCGTTGAAAAACTCCTGCAGCAGCTGCTGCACCTTGGGAATGCGAGTAGACCCTCCAACGAGCACCACATCATGGATCTGCCCCTTATCCATCTTGGCATCTCTTAAGCATTTCTCCACCGGCTCCATGCATTTCCTGAACAGGTCCATGTTAAGCTCCTCGAAGCGAGCACGCGTGAGTGTGGTGTAGAAATCCACCCCGTCGAAGAGCGAGTCGATCTCAATGGTCGTCTGTGCTGTAGCTGAGAGCGTCCTCTTGGCTCGCTCGCACGCCGTTCGCAGCCGCCGGAGAGCCCGAGGGTTGCCACTGGGGTCCTTCCTGTGCTTCCTCTTGAATTCCTGGACGAAGTGATTCACCAGGCGGTTGTCAAAGTCCTCTCCTCCCAGATGCGTGTCTCCTGCTGTCGCCTTCACCTCGAAAATCCCGTCTTCGATGCTCAGAATCGACACATCGAATGTGCCTCCTCCCAGGTCGAAAATCAACACGTTCTTCTCCTTCCCGCTGCCACTGCTGCTGCTGCTGCCTTTCTTGTCCAGTCCATACGCGATAGCAGCTGCAGTCGGTTCGTTGATGATGCGGAGCACGTTCAGGCCGGCAATAGCGCCAGCATCCTTAGTGGCTTGCCTCTGGGAGTCGTTGAAATAAGCCGGGACCGTTATGACCGCATTATTCACGGTAGTCCCAAGGTACGCTTCAGCCACCTCCTTCATCTTCACCAGAACCATTGATGAGACCTCCTCTGCTGAAAATCGTTTCTCCTCTCCCTTGAACTCCACCTCTATCAACGGCTTGTCGGACGCACCACGAACCACCTTGAACGGCCATAGGTTCGCGTCAGCCTGAACCGTCGGATCGGAGTACCGACGGCCGATCAGCCGCTTAGCATCGAAGACGGTGTTCTTCGGGTTCATGGCGACTTGATTCTTCGCTGCGTCGCCGATCAGCCGCTCGGTGTCAGTGAATGCGACGTACGACGGGGTCGTGCGATTTCCCTGGTCGTTCGCGATGATCTCCACTCGGTCGTTCTGCCATACTCCCACGCAGCTGTAGGTCGTTCCGAGGTCGATTCCAATAGCGGGTCCGCTGCCTTTGGCCATGATTGTCTAATCAGGACTTTTTGGTGTCAGAAATAAAGCTGGAAATTTGAGAGCGTTGTCGTACAAGAAAGTAAGCTTAGAATAATTTGATGGTTTGAAGCCGGAGCACGAGATCGTTAATATAGTGGAAGGAGGTGGTGCCATAACAGCCCAACCAGCAGCCATGGCGGCGATCTAGTGTTATCAGGAAGTAGCTACCAGTGAGGCCTCGAAGTCTCCAGATCAGAATAGAGGAGAAAGGTCTGGCCTGGATTGTTCAGGGAGCTTCGCGAACGGTGATAGGACGATGGTTCGCGAAGCTTTTGGGCTCTGGTAACTGCTGTTGGCGGGAAGGGGGTCCAAGGCAAACTTCACACAGAACAGAAACCTTGGGTGTTATCGGATCATTCGCGAAGAAAGGCTTTTTGCCTTCGCTGGGCAGGCCGCCGTTAGTGTCAGGGTGTTTCACGAGAAACGACTGGGGTTCGGGAATGCTGGCGAAGCATGTGGAAAGGTCTAGGTCGTGCAATTTGACTAGTCAGTGGCACCCACAACACATGAAATGCCCCAGGGTTGTTGTTACGCGAAGCCCAGCGACAGAGCTTCCGTCGCTGACAGTGCCTGTTCATCGTGCAAATGCTTGTTCGCGGAATGCTTGGGGTAACAGGGTCTGCCTCCGCTATTGTCGTCGCGTTGTTGCGGAATTGTTTGATAGGCAGTACAGTGGAAACCTTCGTCATACGCTGTTGTTGGTTGCACTGATCCCCTGAGGGCGGGATCCTAGGGTTCTGCTTGTCAAAGTTCCAGAAAAGGTTCCGGAATCGGCGAATATTTTTTGCCTGAGTGGAGATTCGCGATCGTTTTTAAACGTTTCACGAAATCCGTAACGATGCCCAGCTTCGGAACTCAAAACGGAACCGGAACCCTAGGTTCCGCTCTGTGAATTTTCCGTCGTGGTGGGTGCGCATGTCATATCGGACAGGGGCGGGTGGTACTGTATCCCAACCGCGACAGACCAATGAGGTAGTTTCGCGCCACAATTTGCGCCAAACTTGCCTGCTCTCCCCTATGCGCCAATATTCCTGTCCATTTATTGCCCCCTCCCTTGGAAGTTCCCCCTTGCGCCATTTCTCGAAACGCGTTTGGTTTGTGTAGATTGCCCAAACACTAGGGCAGCCCCAGAGGCAGATGAAAGCACGTTTGCCTGCGCCGATGTAGGCAAGCATACATTTTCCAGCAAGCACAAATGTTTCCCCAGCCAAGTACAGGAGGCTCCCACTGCCCAAGGGCCACAATCGCGCCGCTGCTTCTGCGCATCAATTCCTCAATAGCCCCGTCACTCTCAGGGAAGATTCCTAGCTCGTGTCATCCCAACTTCTGGTCATCGTTTGCCTGATTCTGGAAGACCCAAAGTTCCAAAATTGGGGCACGGGAAGACAGGAAGTCGGGATGGCGCGATCTCAGAATACGCCCTCGCCACCAAGTGAGACACATTTCCCGCCATCACCCACCAGTCTCCCGCGAAAACCAGATCCAGGCCCCATGACCACCAAGACTCTCCCTCTCTGCTCCCACCTTCCAATCTGCTAGTGCTCTTTCTCCTCCCCTCCTCTCCCCATTCCTTCCTCGTTTCGGAACAGACATCTCAGAAAGCGCTCGATCCATCGCCTCTGTGCCACGAGACTCTATCGTCTCTCGAATGGCGCCCGTGCAGCCCTTCGACCCGCCATCCGCGGCGGCGCCCAGCAGCGCGATGACGTACGAGCAGCTGCGGCAGGCGAAAATGCAGGCGACGCAGCGCGCGTTCGCGGAGCTGCAGAGCCTATCGGCGGACTTCGCGCAGGAGGCCAGGCGGCAGGCCGGCGAGCAGCAGCCGAAGCCCCGCCGGTCGTGGACTCAGCGCCAGCTCTTCGGGAAGATCAGGCGATCCAGCAGGTGGGCTGTTCTGCGAAACCAGCAGGTGAGTTGCTCTGAGAAACGAGAGGGTGAGCTGTTCTGCGGGGAAGGAGGTGACGATGCGTGGAACGGGGCGATTTTCGAGGCGCCTCAAAAGTTGAAACCAGCAGGTGAGTTGTTCTGAGAAGCCAGCAGGTGGGTTTTGCTGCGAGCGAGGAGGTGACGATGCGTAGAACGGGAATCTGTTTCTATGGCGCCTCAAAAGCAGTCTGCGCGTAGAATAGGATCTCGAGGTATTCCAGGACTGAGCGGTGAAGGTTTTTTCGGCTACCGCTGCAAAGAGCAGGCCGAGTTATTCCGGCTGAGTGCGCGCATTCTCACGCGCGCGACGGAATGGTGCCAGCGGAGTGCGCGCATTCTCACGCGCGCAGCGGAATGATGCCGGCGGAGTGCGCGCATTCTCACGTGGGCGGCGGAATGGTGCCAGCGGAGTGCGCGCATTCTCACGCGCGCGGCGGAATGGTGCCAGCGGAGTGCGCGCATTCTCACGTGCGCGGTTGGAATGGTGCCAGCGGAGTGTGCGCATTCTCACGTTCGCGGCGGAACGGTGCCAGCTGAGTTTGCTCATGCTCAGGCGCAGAGCACCGAACGGGTGGAATGGCAGCCCACAATGCACTGAGTGCATTGAGCGGCAGGCGCAGAGCACTGAACGCCCCTCCTCCCGTTCCTCTCCTCTTCCGCCTTGTCGCTTGTTCCTTTCTCCCCCCCCCCTCCCCCTCCCCCCTCCCCACACTCACCCCCTTCCCCCCACCCCAATCAGGCTCTGAAACCCCCCAGCCGCCCAATACCGCGAGCTAGCGGGTCAAGCGCACAAGATTGAACGCCCTTCTTCGTCCCTTTTTCCCTCCCCTTCCCCTTCCACCTTCCGCCTCCTTCCCTTCCTCACTCTCCCCCCCCCCCCCCTCCCCCCCCTCCCGCCCCCCACCTCCAATTCAGGCTGCAAAACTCCCCCGCCGCCCAATACCACGAGCTAGAGGGACAAGTGCACAGCATTGAACGCCGAACCTCCGCAGGTCGCCGAGCCTGGCAGGCTCGGCCTATGGGTTCAGCAGGCTCGGCCGAGGTTGGTGCAGTGGTTCGGCGCGGGCGGGAGGAGTACACGGAGGAAGATCTGAAGAAGCTTCGTGGGCACGTGAAGCCGTATGACATCAGCATTGAGCGAAACAAGACGAGGGTGTATGACCCTGTTAACGGGAAGACATGCCACCAATGCAGGTAATGAAAGGAAAAGAAGGAAACATGAGAGAATAAAAAAACCGTGCAAATAAATCGCTGTGCATGTTGTTGGTCATGTTGGCTTACTTGGCGTGCACATATGGCAATGAAACGGTATATTTCGTACAATGTTTCAAGAGTAAACCACTTGATTAACAAGCCTGCCCTGCCGCTCTTTTCTGTTCCTGTCTATGCCTGCAATCCCTCACCCGCGTGATAGGAGTCTTGTTTTGAGGCACCTCAAAACTAGACCCGCCAAATTCTTCTTTCTTTAGAATTCTAAAAAATGGCTCCTCTTCCTCCTAACCCTTCGCCCCCGCATCTCCTCACTCCCACATCTCCGCCCTCACTCCCACATCTCCGCCCTCACTCCCACATCTCCGCCCTCACTCCCACATCTCCGCCCTCACTCCCACATCTTCCTCGCTCCCCCTGGTTTTCCCAGTACAGACAGCAGACTCTGGTACTGTGAACAGAACGTGCGTCGTGCACATTCTGTTCACAGCATGTGCACGATGCACACAGCCGCACACAGCCGTTGACACTAGCACACAGCCGCACACATACACACACACCTGCACACATACACACACACCTGCACACATACACACACACCTGCACACATACACACACACCTGCACATACAAACACACCTGCACACATACACACACACCTGCACACATACACACACACCTGCACACATACACACACACCTGCACACATACACACACACCTGCACACATACACACACACCTGCACACATATACACACCTGCACACATACACACACACCTGCACACATATACACACACCTGCGCACATACACACACACCTGTACACATACACACGCGCCCCATTCCGCCCTCTGGTTTCCCCATGGCAGGCAGAAGACGCTGGGGCTGCGAACAGAGTGTGCGTCGTGCAAGGATCGCTCGGTGTGTGGGCAGTTCTGCGGGGACTGCTTGTTCGTGAGGTGAGTTTCCGTGTGAGGCAAGGAAATGGCTCCTTCTATTTATAGCCAAGTCATGTTTACACGGAGTGTGCATCGTGCAAGGATCGCTCTGTGTGTGGGCAGTTCTGCGGGGACCGTCTGTTCGTGAGGTGAGGTGATTGCATGGGTGACGGCTTTGGGTCGCTTTAGTAACACGGAGTGTGCATCGTGCAAGGATCGCTCGGTTTGTGGCCAGTTTTGTGGGGCTTGCCTGTTGGTGAGGTGAGGTGATGATGGCGCCAAGTGAGACTATGCTTAGTACATGACTATTCGCTTTGCCTCCTTGTGTGTGTCAGGTACAGCGAATGTAACTATGCTTTGCCTGTAAGCATAGTTACCTGTGTGTGTGCATAGGGAGAACATTGAGGAGGCTCCAACAGACCCCACGTGGGAGTGCCCTGTGTGCAGAGACATCTGCATCTGCTGCATTTTCTATCCGTGTTCCAGTCTTTGCCCCTTCCTCTCTCCCTTCCTGTCAGATACGGAGAGAACATCGAGGAGGCTTCAGCAGACCCCACGTGGGAGTGCCCTGTGTGCATTGGTCGACCAGTCTACTCTCTTTCATCCTTTCTCCCCACCATACAGATATGGAGAGAACGTTGAGGAGGCTCTAGGAGACCCCACGTGGGAGTGTCCTGTGTTTAGAGACATATGCAACCAACTTGATTCCTTTTGTTTTGAGACGCCTCAAAACTGTCCTCTGTTCTCTACTCGCCCCCTTCACTCCCCACCACACAGATATGGAGAGAACGTTGAGGAGGCGCTAGCAGACCCCACATGGGAGTGCCCTGTGTGCCGAGACATCTGCAACTGCTCTATTTGCAGGAACAGGAAGGGCTGGGGACCCACAGGACAACTGTTCCACAAGGTAACCCTTCAACCATGTGGTAACCCCATAGTAGTAAACCCATGGCCATGTGGTTATCACGTGGGAGTGCCCGGTGTGCCGAGACATCTGCAACTGCTCCATCTGCAGAAACAGGAAGGGATGGGGGCCCACAGGATAACTGTTCCACGAGGTTACCTATAGCAAAGTGGTAAAGCTATGGCCATGTGGTTATCCTATGGCCCTGTGGTAACCCTGTAACTATCGCTATTCTTCCAGATTTTAACTCCATTAATTGACATTTATACGACTCCATAAGTGCACTTGTCTCATATATCCAGAAGTTTCACCTATTGCTTTTTCCACAAGCCCCTTCCTCCCTTCCTCCCCATCCCTCCTTCGCTTTGCCTTATTTCCACTCCCTACCTTCCCGCTCCCGCCCTCTCTCCCTGCAGGTGTGGGGGGCGGGTTACCAGTCCGTTGCACGCTATCCGATGGTCACCTACTGATCGCACCCTCATCCTTGCTTACCCATGCCCTCTCTTCACCGAACCCTTTCCACCTTTCGTTTCGTCCAATCCTGCAGGTGTGGGGGGCGGGTTACCAGTCCGTTGCGCACTATCTGATGCTCACCCGAATGGCAAAGGGGGGTGAGATCAAAGGGGAGGAAGTGGAGGAGGTGGAGGAGGTGGAGGAGAGTGAGGAGGAAGGAGGAGAGTTAGGGAGTGGGGAGGGAGAAGCGGGAGCGAGTGGGGAGGAAGAAGGGGAGGAGGGAGGGAGGGAGGAGGGAGAGGAAAGAAGTGGCATTGCGGCGATACAAGGTCGCGAGGGGGAGAATGAGAAAGATGAGGAGGCAGGAGAAGGAAGTCTGGGAAGAAAGAGGAAAGGGATGGCAGGAAGGGAAGGGAAGGAGGAAGTTGTGGAGGGGAAGGGGAGCAGTGTAGGGAAACGAGTAAAGGATGAGGCTGTAGAGATAACGAGCAGCAGGGGAGAGCGGGTAAAGGAAGAGAGGGCAGAGTGTCAGAAAGTACCAGGAAAGGAGGTGGGAAGGAGAGGAGAAGTGAAAGACGAGGTGGCGGGTGTTGAAGCCATGGCAATGGGAATAAGGACAGATATGTGTGAGAAGAAGACACGTGACAGTATGGCACGTGACAATACAACGCGTCACAATATGGCGCGTGGCAATACAAGGTGTGACACTAGGATCTGGGGTGTCAAAGGTGGGTCGCTAGAGGAAGTACCCACAGGAGAAGGCACAAGGGGGGGGGAGGCGAAGAGAGAAAGGGTAATCATGACCAGAGGAGCGACGGCGAAGCTGGAAGCTGAATCTGAAGCTTCCGAGTCTGCTCGAGTGTTGTTGTCCCGCAGCATCCTGGCGCAAATGGCATTTGAGGTGACTCAAAAGACTCTAAAGACTCGAAAATCAGCTCGAGTGTTGAAGTCCCAAAGGATCCTCGCACAAATGGCATGTACCATCCAGCAGTCACAAGCATCAGCAGGCGGAAGGGCCTTGAGGCCGCCTAAGGGGGGAAGGGGAGGTTCCAGCTGCACAAGGGGAGATGCAGTGGAGGGACGTGGGAAGGAGGCTGCATCTGCGGGTGAAGGAAAAGGGGTGAAGTCGGGGCTTGAGGTGGTAACGAGAAGCTCTGTAAGGGGGATGGGGAAGGTGGGGTGCAGCAGGGAGAAAATGGAGGACGAGGAAAGTTTGAGGCGTCCCAAGGAGGAATTTGAGTCGAAAGGCAAGGTGGAGGGAGAGGAGGAGGATGGTGATGATGGCGATGATGTGGTGGAAGTTTAGTTTTGAGGCACCCAAAAACCGCGTGGTATTAGGTGCAGAATACTAGGGCCTCAAAATCGTGTAATAGAGGTCTGGTTAGTTCACGAGGCGCCTCAATACTAGGGGGAAAGAAGCAGGGGGACGAGATGGAGGAAGAAGAGGATGATGATGAGGATGTGATGGAAGTGGTGGTGGGTGGGCATAACAACAGCGAGAAAGGAGCATATCGGTAGAGAAGGATGGTATGTATGTCAAACATATCCTTGTATGTTGTTATAGACTACACAGGGTTGTGCCTTAGAGAGTACAACCCATTAGGTTATATTCCTTTGTATGCCATGGTTCTAATCATTGGTTAGCTTTGATATGGTATCATGAGCAGGTTAGGTCCCCCCCGCCCACCAGCGCTTCCGCCATAGGTCCTAGCCAGGGTTCCTGCTAACTTTTAGGGCAGTCTGAGAATCAGACGGGGTACAAAAGTTTTGTCTGACCATCATATGAGGTGTTTGGCTTGATCTCAAATTTCAGACGAAGTATATAGCCTTATCTGTGTTTGCAGATGAAATTTGCCTCCTGAAATGATGTGTTCCAGACAACACTACTCATAATAAGATTTCTCCTACAGGCACTAGGAACATCCTACGAGCCACAGTTGTAGCCAACAAACATCCTACTACATCAGCTACTCCTAACTCTACCAATGACATCCTCCTACAAGCTCACTAGAGTTTCCAACCAATACCGCTGCAGAGTCAACTAGCAGAACCCTACCCTACTCAGATTCACTGCCACTGCTGCATCCTTGCTCATCCTCCTCCTCACTATCAGACTCTAGCAAAATCGCTCTGCCCTTGCCCTTCCTCTTCCATACCGTGCCTGCTGCACCATCCTCATCAAACATCCGCGCCGCCTCTGCTGCTGCAAGTGCCTCTGCCTGTCGTGCTGCTGCTGCTGCCACCTGCGCTGCTGTTCTTGCCGCATTGAATGCCGCTGACCGCTTCTGCCTCTTCGCTGAACGTGAACCCTGCCCCATCACTACCTCCCTCGCGGGCCGCCTCTTCTTGACCCCACGCCACTTCGCCACCATGCCGTCCCACTCCATGTCGTAGTCGAGGAGGGACATGGTCATCAGATCGCTGAGCTTCGCGTCACACAGGTTGCCGCGCAACCAACTCTTAATGACGTTATGGCGGCTGAAGCCGCGCTCGCAATCGACAGTGCTCAACGGCAACACCGCCACTGCTATCCAAATGCTGACGATATTCGGGTAGGCCGTCTTCCAGTCGGGAGTGGAGAGCATGTTCTTCAAGCTTGCATGAAAATCAAGGTCATCCTGGTGAGTAGACATGATAGTGGTGAAGCTATTCAGCTCCTTTTTTGCCTTCCCCCAGTGGACACCTTCAGGATAGGGGATAGAAGAGCCAGGGAAGAAAGGAGGGTGTTTAGTAAATGGTAGACAGGATTGAAGTAAATACACGTCATGAACAAGGTAGAGAAAGACTTGAGCCACATGCATGCTTAAACACGACAATCACCAGGCAGCGTGTCGGGAGCGGAGGAGTCGCGCTTCCAGAGGTTGCGGAGAGCCTGCAGCCACGCCACAAACTTCCGCTCCCGCTTTGCCGCCGTCCGGGGATAGAGACCCTGCTTGAACAGTCGCGTGCCGTTCAACGACGCCAGGTCAGAAAGTCGCGCCTGCAGCTTGCTGATAATGGACATCACCACCGCCGTCGCCAGCTCCTGCAGCGAGTCGATGTTCCCGCCAGTGTGTTGCCCTTCAATGTCGGCAGTCTGCAGCTCGTACGTGTGAGTCGTCGGAGTGCCGTTCGCGTCCACGCCGCTAATGGTGATGTCGGCTCCCGTAGCTACCAGGTTCAGGAATTCGAAGAAGTCTCCTTCGGCGGGGCCGAAGCGGGTGCCGTAGTTGACATAACGAGCCCGCAGCGTCACGATGGTGTTGTCCACCATCCTAAGCACCTGGGTGATGTCGACCTGCGAAGGGGCGAGTACGGGATTAGAAACAGAGATTTATAAAATGCTGGAAACGATTAAATGCTACCCGCACCTGCCGCCGTTGGAACTTCAGGTTGAGGACGTTGAGCTCCTTCAAAACATCAGCAAGGAAATACAAGAGAAAATGGAACTTCAAGGTTATAACGAGCGCATACATAGCAGAATCATACTCCCTTAGGAGAAGCACTGCTGCAGGGAAAACCTCAACCAGACGCTGGATGGCCTCGCCCCGAGACAACCAGCGGATATTGTGAATCCCTTGCATCTCGAGGTTCGTCTCGGTGACCACCTCCTGCAGCTCTTTGAATCGAGAATGGACGACAATCGACCGGCCGAGAATGTCGGCCAAAGATCGTACCACTTTGTCAACCATCCCCAAGTCAGGGAACTCTGCTGCAGCATCCTTGGCAGCGAGAGCTTCCCTGCACACATTGCAAATGACGCTGGTCAGAATCCGGGCAGAGAAAACCATAAGGCAAAACTGATGTGGGGCAGAGCATACCTATGAGCAATACAGTGGCATGACACGAGGTGAGGAATACGAGTGCGAAGCCTTGCGACAAGCCCGTTTTGGGCTCCCGTCATCACACTCGCTCCATCAGTGCTTATGCCACATATGCGGTTTAGGTCGACGCCTTGTCCCTCCAGGTGTGTCAGCAGGACGGCTTGAAGCGATGCGGCGTCGCACTTCCCGACCGTCAGGTGAGCGAAGAACTCAGTCACGACCGTCGTATCGCGCAGGAACGTCAGATACACTATCATATGCTTGCTCCGCCGTCTGTCGGTGCTCTCGTCAAGCTGGATGCCGAGAAATGGGCTCGCCTTGAGGTGGGCCAGCTGTTTCGCGCGCAGGTAGCCGACCATGTTCTCAATGAGTTGGTTGAAGCCATACCTGCACACAAAGAGGTAAAAGCACTGCTTAATTGCAAGACTTTTCGTGACCATCTGCGGAATACAAACAACGGTGGCATACATAAATATCATGAGAACCTGGCACAAACAAGGCGCCCCGCATGATTGACAACACTCACTCGCTTTGGTAGGTTCCACGTTCTTTCTCTGGCAGATCAGGAGTGCCTTGCTGCGCCATGAACTGCACCAATGATACGAAGAGGAGAACTGGGGCGTCCGACTTGCAGATGAAGTGGACGATCGCCATCAGCCGCTTCAGTCGCTTGGATTCCGCGTCGCCATTTTCAAACTCCACGATGGACCGCTGCTTTGCCTTTTTGCCGTCAAGTTGAAGCTTGCGCGCCATCGCCGCCGCGTGCTTCTGGCTGTGCTGATGCTTCCGCATAGTCTGCTTTTGAATATCGATCCCGCCCTCTCCATTGCGCCCGTACTGGTAGTCGGGGTCGTCACCGTGCACTATGCAGACTGTGCACTTCATGCACGGACGCCCCTCGGAGGTTTCGGAGATGACAAGCCACGGAAAATGGCGCGTCCATTGCTCTTCCGCCTTTGCCTGAAGCTCTGCGATTGTTAAGGGAAACGGACCTTCGTCGTCCGACGGTGTGGACGGCGCGGGATCAGTACGAGCCCGCTGCTCGCCAAGGCGCACGGAGGACGTGGAGGTAGATGAGGCAAGCCTACCGAAGGTAAGCTTGCGCTGCTGGTATCGCACCCGTCCAGGCTTGCGCACAGGAAGCACAGGCCCTCCCGAGATGCGAGCGGACGGGCCGACGGAAACGGCAGGTGCGACATGCGGTGGCGGGCTGCTAGGACGCTCAGACGTGGGGGGCGCTGTACCCTCAGGCGCGAATGTGATCCACGGTTCTGTGTCTAGCGGAGGTAAAGGGGACGGTGGGGTGGATACAGTTGATGCGGCGTGTGCAGGTGCCGATGCTACAGTGGTAGCACGACCAGTAATAAGGTCGATGCCTGATACCCTGGGGAGCAAGGCTACTACATGCTCCTCGACGGGGGAATCTACCGCTGGCTTTGCGGAACCAGCGGCAGCAGACATGAGACCTATTCGTCGAACAGATACAAGACTACACTTGCGACTCTGCTGAGAGGACGACTAGGAGGAACGAGGCATGGGGGAGGCATCTCGTGTAGAAAAACTATAACCAGAGGGTGACAGAATAGATGTGGAGCTACGACGAGAGCCTTGCACTGCCATTACGCAAGGACGCCTCGGCGGCACCTTGCATGTGACGGTGCCTGATTTAGCACGAAACTCATCTCGCGCTGGCAGGCATCGAGGGTGGCTTCCATACAGCGCAGGCAATGCGCTGGCGGTATGCTGCATGCAAATCATGCCTTAGAGTTGCCAGCAAGCCAAGTTTTGCACATATCGACGAATTGGTAACAGCATGTGACTCAGGCCGCTGTAAATCTGATACGAAATGTACAGCGGTGATGAGAGGCCACGCGACGACTTTATTGTGCGTGCAACGGTTTCCTAGGACTGGATGGCACAATTGGCCCAGTGCGCACATGGGCCGGTGGGAGCGTGGGCACCTGGGCAGATGTGTCGGTATCAGACGGAAATATACGCGCTGTCTGAAAACTCAGACGACTGCCTACACCTAGTCTGAGAATTCAGACAAATTTATATAACCAAGATGGTCGTTCAGATGGAAAATTAATGGTTGTCAAAAAATCAGATGACACGGAAAATGTGAGTCTGATTCTCAGATGAACAGACGGATTTCGTCTGCTAACGGGAACCCTGGTCCTAGCCGCTCTGTCGCCCTCTCGCCCGTTCTCGCCCGTCCCCTAGTGGCCCCCGTCACCTAGCACCTAGCCGGTCCCGTCGCCCAGCCGGCCCCGTCGCCCAGCCAGCCCCGTCGCCTAGCCGGCCCCGTTGCCTAGCCGGCCCCGTCGCCTAGCCAGCCCCGTCCCCCAGCCGGCCCCGTCGCCTAGCCGGCCCCGTCGCCTAGCCGGCCCTGTCGCCGAGCCGGTCCCGTCGCCTAGCCGTCCCCGTCGCCCAGCCGGCCCCGTCGCCCAGCCGGCCCCGTCGCCCAGCCGGCCCCGTCGCCCAGCCGGCCCCGTCGCCTAGCCGGCCCCGTCGCCTAGTCGGCCCTGTTGCCCAGCCGGTCTTGTCGCCTAGCCGGCCCCGTCGCCTAGCCGGCCTCATCACCTAGCCGCCTAGCTGACCCCGTCGCCTCGCTGCCCGCGGCCCTGTCTCCTAGCCGCCACGCGGCCACGTCGTCCAGCCGCCACGCGGCCCTGTCTCATAGCCGCCCGGCGGCCCCGTCGCCTGACCGCCCTGCGGCCCGGTCGCCTGCCCGCCACGCGGCCTGGTCGCCTGCCCGCCCCGCGGCCCCTGTTGACCAGCCGTCCCGCGACCTCGCCGCCCAGCCTCCTCGCGGCCCCGTCCCTCAGCTGCCCCTGCGGCTCCCACCTCGCTTCTTCGGCCCTCTCCACTGCACTGCACCGCACTCCACCGCCCGGTACCACACTGCACCGCCCTGCACCGCACCCTACCGTACTGCACCTCACTCTACCGCAGTCT